ACCGCTATTGACTTGCTTCCAGAGACCTGTCGGGTAGGAGATGACAGTCAAGTCAGGAATGTGTCATTCAAAGCCACAGGAGATAAAACAGACGGGCTGGTGGGCTTATTTTTTGATCTCGATATTGGAGTTCTTGTTAGTAAACAATGCTCCCCTTGCAAAACGAATCCAGACTCGGCACGTCCATATAATCCGATGGGCTGCCCATCGATCGGGATATTCTTCGCAGAACGCCCTTTCGTATGTGCGCAGGTTGTTCAGCAGGTTCAGGTTGGGATGAAATTCACGTCCCTCATCGGGCCAAAAGGCGAAATCATCTTTCAAAGAAGTAGCCTCACATCCTCACCGACTCCTAATGAGTCAACTGCAAAGAACCTCACCCGCGATGATTCCGAGCTAGATCTTTTCCCCTATCGTATTCAACCTCACTTCGATAAAAGTGTTACGAACTCGATCTCAGATGACCCGGCCGATCCATTTTTCAGATACATACTTTCTGGAACCACGGGGGTCAGCAGGGACGATTTGACCAAGAATCCTGATCAACTGATCGATGTCGTAAACGGCCTCTACACCAAGTTCATGGTTCAGGTAATGGATTCGAGCATCTTTCGAACGCCTATCGTCGCTTCAACTCAGACGAAGGAGCAAAACGAAAAACAAAGTGTAAACGGTACGATCTCACGAGAAGAATCTCGCCTGATAATGAACTATACGCCGAAACTCATTCTTCAGATCTTGCTTGGTGCCATGATGATCCTTGGACTGACGGCCTACATCATGGTCGATCTCAAAGGCACTCTTCCTCGAAGCCCTCATTCAATAGCAAGCAGCATGGCCTTATTCGCAGGGAGCGAATTGTGTGCGAACCACATTCCCGAAGAGGCTGAATGGATGAATAAGCAGCAACTCGACCGAATATTTCAGGGATACACATTCGCCTTGGGGTGGTGGAGTCGCAGTGCGACCGAGGCAGATTCTCGCAGCATTGATAGCTTGTTGGATGCTCCAGTTGTGGATGAGAGGTTCGGGATTGACGTTGGAACGCCAGAGAGGTTGGGCTTTGAAGCTAAGGGAAACAGAGGTGGCAGACTATGGAGCAAATGGAGTGCGCTCTAGCCGATATTTCTCATTAAAAGTACATACACTCGGCTTGGTGGCCTCTACCCGATTCCTAGAGACCGCGGTATGCCTAACCTTCCCACACAAAGTCTTGCTCAATACCAGGAATCAGTGGTCGAAGAGCCATACCGTAGTCGCCAGCGTTGGGCGTCCTAAGAAGAGTGTGAATGTGAAACTTTGCGGGCTCCTTGTTTGTCAAGAAGACTCCTGAGTGGTGATCAAACTCCACGAGGATAACCGGGCTCTGGATGCGGTAGTAAAAGGGATCTTGGTCACCGAAGCCGCCAATCCAACTAAAGTACGTCTCCTGGAAGAAAGACTTGATATGGTTGACCCGGATCTCCCTGGACTTCTGAGGAAGATAGATGAGATATTGCTCGAGGATACCAAGAACCAGCTGCTGCTGCTCGGCTGTCATGTCCGACACCAAAATGCCCTCATACGGCACAATTCGGTTATCTCGGTAGGCGCCGCAGAGATGTCGCTGGTCGTCGTGATTCCACCGTCCTTTCGGCATTGCGGGGTCTTTGAGGAGTTTGTAGGTCTGCGCCTTTTGCTGCAAGTTTGCTGGGAGCGACTGCATAAGCTGCAAGCCTAGCCGTTCTTCGGTCTCAAGGATACGAGTGCCCTTGTATGGGCCATCATCAATCAGGTTCGGCTCTGCCCCAGTGAACCACGGCGATGCTACAATCTGACCCTGATACAGGAAAATGTTCAGGCACAGATGGTGACCGTAAAATGAGAAGCCCCATGGTCTCGTCGCCGAGGGCAGTCCGAAGAGGACAAAGTTGTAAGAGAATTCGTTGCAAATGGTGGGTGTCTGTACCAATTCGCCCAAAAAGCCGTTTACGCGCATGGCACCGAGCGCCTTCGCGTACCCCTCAGGGGATAGCGTCGTCTCGAGGACTTTCAGGATGCTGTCGCGGATTTGCGGATTTAACTCATCCAGCCGTAAACCCTTGTCGCTGAGGAGAAACTCGGGGTTCGACCATGATCGCCATTCCGGGGAATCGACATGGTATGAGAGGATTGTCTTCTGCTTGTCGTCTAGCTGTGACAGAACCGCGTTTGTAGCATCGACAATTTGCTGAATCGGCACGCCCTCGTCGGCGATTTTGAATAAGTCCCGTTTGACCGTGCCTAAATCCGGGTCAATTATGGTTTCTTGGCGGGAAAGTTAGTGGTTTTGGGTGTCACGGCAGATCTCACCATCTGTTGTGATGCCGGTGTATGGCTCTTTGAAAAGGCTACGCCAATGAAGGTACAGGGCATGTAGCCACGGCGGGTTGCCGCTCTCTTTGAACACCTTGGCATATTCGTGAGCATCCTGATTGCGCATCGTCGTGAAGCGAGGAATGCTAATGTCTGGAAGGTGCTGACGGTACTCGGCGCCATGAGGCGCCTGTTCCTGTGCTCCAGACATGTTCTGCTGGTGTTCTCCCACGAATGATATCTGTGAATCTCGCGGTGTAATCGTTGCAGCGATGGCTGTGAGTCTTCTGGCAGCTTGAGAGCTTCTCTGGTCGGTGTCCCTCATGCAAAGTGTCTGGATGTATGTGTTGTCAAAGCTGGACTACTTACACGCGACAGCGTGACAGGGAAAGCAAGTAATAATAGCTCCGACCGACAACGGATAGCTCTTGTCACAAGACGTCCACTCTGATCAGCCCATTTCTAAACAAACCGTCATCAAGTACCGGCGAATCCACAAAGCCACGACGTCGGCGATGGTCGGCGCATGTGCCGCCGACAGCGACCCCTCATTTCTCGGCCCCTCCATCCCACATCGCCATCATCCCTCATCCTCGCAACTCCCCCACAATTCCCCCAGCTGCGCCTTTGAGTTGCCCGGCTTTTCCGCAGGCGTCAATGTGTCAGCCGGCCATTGACCAATCACGGTGGATGGACTTACGATTGGCACGACGCGGCGTCAAGATCTGGGAGCGAACTCTCGAACTTCCCGGACCTCCGAGCCGACCACCCCCAACCATCGGCAATTGTGCGGGGGAGAACCCCAGCAGGGATAGCGGGCTTTCTCCAGTCGGATTTCACGATGCGGGAACGGCCCTTACTTCTACCCTCCTGCTGGTGAATATCATCCGAACTGCCACTCCAAGTCTGACTTGAGCTTCGAATCTTACGATACCACTGCACACCTGACTTTGAGGAACGCACCAGACAACACATACACCATGGCTTCACAAACACAAACGCCCTTCACCCGTAAGTTGTTCATCTCGCACGAATGGATGATAACACTAGAACGCCGCCGCTGACAAACTCAAGGCTTCGTGCGGTTTGTCCCCCGCTCTGATTCCAACAAAATCCTCATTGGTGAGCCTGAATCAGAGTCTGTTGATGTTGGTCTCGCTGTGCGCAAGGGCGAGGAAGTGAAGGTTGTGGTATGGTCCGGATCTAGCGTCATCAAGCCGGGTTCCAAGACCGAGGAGCGGGCCGTCATTGACCGCATCCTCTCACCCGTCTCTGCCGAGGAGGTCGGAACGATCCGATGCATCGGCTTGAACGTGAGTAGCCAATGATGTTTCTCTACTACTCTGGCCAGAGACATGAAGCTAACCTCAAACAGTATGTCCAACACGCAAAGGAGACTGGTCTGGCACTGCCTACGGTCCCGACTGTGTTCTTGTAAGATCGCCCGGATCGGTGTAAACCGCTGGAGAATCAGTGCTAACTCATTGTACAGGAAGCCAAGCACTGCACTAGGAGACCCATGGCCCGCGCCTACGGTACTTCCTTTGCTTACCCAGGCTGACGACTGCGGCGACTACGAGTCTGAGCTCGCCGTCGTGTTGGGCAAGACCGCTAAGAACGTCTCCGAGGCCAGCGCTCTGGACTATGTCTTGGGTTATACTGCCTGCAACGACGTCTCTTCCCGGACGTACCAACTGAACCAGTCGCAATGGTGCTTCGCTAAGGGATTCGATGGATCCTGTCCATTGGGTGAGTTATCCTAGGGTATTTGGGAAGACGGGATCATGAAACTAACAAGATGTTTTCCAACAGGCCCTACCTTGGTTTCCAAGGATCTCATTCCTGACCCAACCAAGTTGAAGATGCGTGGCTTGAAGAACGGCGAAGTTCTCCAGGACTCTCCCATTGAGTAAGTTCACTTGCTCTCATAACCTTTCATCAATACTGACAGGCCTTGCAGCGACCTCATCTTCAGCATCCCGAAGCTCATCAGCTTCCTGTCTCAAAGCACAACCCTACCCGCTGGAACAGTAATCATTACCGGAACTCCTGCTGGAGTTGGCCTGGGCCGGACACCAAAGGTCACCTTGAAGGACGCTGACGAGTTCCACGTTGAGATTCTTCCCCATATCGGCACGCTGGTCAACACCTTCCAGAATGAGGTTGGACGGTAGATGCGAGAGCACATGTAGGACAAGGCGATATGAAATGAATTGAGGTGCACGAAGACTTGGCGAAATCATTGAGTGAAAGGACACAAATGATGAGCTGCTCATCTGGATTAGACTAAATGATACATGAATTCCCAACATGAATGTCTTGCAAGATTCCAAGCTCCTATCGTTGATGGCACTTCACGCCCCCTGAATCCCGGATGACTATGTGCATTGTTTGTTCCTATCCCACGCCATGACGATTCATATTTCCATGGGATGGTTTGCATTTCCCTCGCCTCCCTTAACAAAAGTTGCATCACCTGGTACTCAGTCAAACAGTCCTTTCTTAGATTTACGATGAACTATCCAAAGCTAGATGCACAACATCACTCATCCAGAAGGTTTACTGCGATTAATACCCGATCAAGGTAGTGGATATAGCATTTCTCAAGGTTTCTGTTAGATGATTTTATTCATTCAATTCATTGCATCTTCAATGTGGTGGATGAACTAGCTCTCGAGCAGTTGAGGAACCTTCTCAAGGAGGTGCTCAACAATAGCATCTGGCCCCCTCTCAACCTGCAGCCCATGGGGGATCGCGTGGGTCTTAATGTTCGGGACAATTGACCTCGCAGTAGCCTGAATCTGCTCTGCCTCATCCGCTGTCCACATTGACGCACAGAACTGCGCAGGCTGATTAGTTGAAGAAGCTTCAGTTGGCTGGGGTTACTCATACCAGGACGTCTGGCTTGTGCTCTTTCACCTTGCCCTCGACCTCGGCGATTGCTGTCGATACCGTCAGCTTACAGAGTTTGCATTATGGATGAATTATTCAACTTACTCTCGCAGTTGGCGACATAGTCAATCGTGTACTGATCCTTGAGCGCCTCAGTCATGCGGCCGATAAGCCTCTTCGCACGCTCAGGTGCGGTGTTGACTGTGACAAGCTTGAAAGGACCCTTGGGCGCCATGATGCGGGGTTGTTGTGAGAATGAGGGGTGATGGAACAAGGCAAGTGATGACGTTGAAGATTGTGATGGTTGATCGCAATGGCTTGTTGTGAGGTGATTGAGCAAGGAGTATAGTTTTGGCTGTCTTCCGGTAGAATGAGCCGCGTAAGTACGTGCGTGATGTTGGTCCACGATGATGTGCCGCACCTTTCTCCCGATGGCCGCTGACAACTCCCATATATCCGGCAGATAGCGGCTTGAGCTCCGCCGAAGTCGCACCCGAAAGTCAACCCACAAAATGGTCTGGAAGCTGACTGTTCCATCGCTTCTGTGCCAGATTTGGAGACAGTTTGGTTCTCATGCCGGCTTTGCCGATTTCGCCTCCATCTGTCCAGTCCCACCAATCTAAAGCCTTTTTGGGTTATTCTCCCGTGACCTTTACCTTCGTCGTCGAACTGGCGCCGTTGGGGACACAACTTCGGCGGATAACCCGTGGATCTTCGGATATCCCGAGACTTCTGTCCACCTGTGACCACCGCCTTCAGCCACTGGCGTCCACCTAATTACTAGCAATTAGTTGTTCCCCATGGGACGCATCCCGTGCTTCCGGCTTGTGTGGGGGATCTCCGGGGATTGCATTAGGGACTTGCCGGCGCCCCTTGGTCCGCGAAAGTAAAGAACATGGGTTGAACTGCTGAACCCAGCTGCAACCACCTCTTGAAGATTTGAGGATTTGAGGGTAAGGGATTCCTGCCGTCGCGACGTGTTTTTCCAGATCTTGGTTCTGTATCTTTACCGACCTGCAGCTCATCGCCAAGCAATTTTGAAATGTTCCGTTGGCTCAACTCTTGGTTTTCGCCCAGGGCAAACGCATCTTCACCCAACAGCAACGGAAACATGGCGGTGAGTTCTCATTCCATGAAGACGGGTTTTCCGCACGTCAATGCTGACGATGAATATGAAGGTCACAGCGCATATCAGATCACCAGTCCAACTGGAAATTATTGTTGTCGGCGCCGGGCTGAGTGGTTTAGCCACCGCAGTGGCAGCCGCTTTGTCGGGACACAAGGTCACCGTGTTTGAGTCCGCGAAGGAGCTCCTCGAGGTGAGCCCCATCTCAAAGTTCGAGGGCCCCAAATGAGGTTTATTGACATTATTCCCCAGGTCGGTGCGGGCCTGCAAGTAACGCCCAACTCCACGCGCATTCTCCAGAAATGGGGTCTGCCAGACAGACTGTGGAAATCGGCATCTGAGCCGACGGATCTGGTGGTGCATCGCTACTCTGGAAAAGTGCTCGCGTTGGAGGAGAACTTCAACAAGAATATTCGCGCAAAGTATCAGGCACCATTCATCGACTTGCACCGCGTCGACCTGCAGCTGTCACTTTATGAGCGCGCCAAGGAACTCGGCGTTACATTTAACCTCGGCGAGAAGGTCGAGAACATCGACTTCGACATCCCCGAGCTTACGACGCAGTCTGGAATCAAGGCCAAGGCAGACCTCATCGTCGCTGCCGATGGACTCTGGTCGCGGTCGCGTGCGTGCTACCTGAAGAAGGACGACCCTCCCCTGGCAACGGGTGACCTTGCCTACCGTGTGGTTCTCAACCTCGATGAGGTCACGGATCCGGAGCTAAGAGAGTGGATTCAGAAGCCTCAGGTCCACTTCTGGGTCGGTCCCGGTGCTCACTGTGTTGGGTACTCGATGAGAGCGGAGAAGATGTACAACCTGGTGTTGCTTACACCCGATGATCTTCCCAAGGGTGTGAGCCGTCAAGCAGGATCAATCGAAGAGATGCAAAGCCGGTTTGATGAGTGGGACCCGATATTGAAGAAATTCCTCAGCTCGGTTGACAGTGTTGAGAAGTGGAAGCTGATGCACAGTAAGTTTTCGTGTTCAGACCCATCATCGTATGAGCTAACATGTTTCCAGGGGAGGAGATGACTTCTTGGGTCAACGAGAAGTCAAACTTTGTGTTTGTGTGAGTACCCTTTCCAAATATGAGATGTCGACCCTCACTGACGCTTGCCAAGCGGTGACGCATGCCACCCCATGCTACCTTACCTTGCACAGGGTGCCAACTCAGCTGTGGAGGATGGTGCTGTCCTCGGACTGCTCCTTGGTCACATCAAGTCTAAGTCGCAACTTCCTGCAGCATTAAAATCATACGAGAAGTTGCGCAAGGCTCGTGGCGAATCTATCGTCAGGGAAACATTCAAGCAGGTGAGTTTCTCTCGTTAGATCTCCGGGCATCCATCGTACGACAGTCTCTGACATTCTCTAGCGCCATGATTTCCATATGAATGACGGCCCTGAGCAAGAGGCCAGAGATCAAATCTTCTTGTCACAACTTGGAAAGGAGCTGAAGGGCGCGTTCCCTAGCAGGTGGACGTGCCCTGAGGTGCAGCCCTGGCTGTACGGGTACGACGCGTACAAGGAGGTCGAAGAAGCGATGAAGAGCGACCCCTTCGACAAGCCCCACGCCAACTTGTGAGCAACCAAGCTTTCAATTGAGTCAGGGAATTTGGGCAATTCGGCGTACTGGTGATAATATTACGGGCTTTGGAGCATGCCTCGGTAATCGGCATATTGTGTATACCTAACTCTTTGTTCCGCAGCGATAGCATAACGTCCTTTACTTCCATTTTCTCCCTGCCTGGACCCGCTGTAGAGTTAAGGATCACTATGAAATCTTAGCGCTGATCGTGCTAAGACCCCCCCGCCACCACTAACAATACCCAAGCCAAGCCCTGTAGCTCCCGCAAGGCCCTCTGAACGAATTTTGCCATGATGCCAAATATTTTTGACATGATGTTTGCAAATTGACATGGTGTTACATTTTGATACGTGGAAATCTTCACGTTCCTGATGTCACGAAGCCTATGGCAAGGGAGCTTATATATGCAGCAAGTGCGTATTCAACTTGGCAACATGAGAAAAATTAGATACATATTCAAATGACTAATTATTCTATGGGATAGTTATAACTCTTAATTAGTCGAGATAAGCATGGATCATTTGAGGTATCAAAGACCTCTCATGAAGCCGCGCTTTCTAATGGGTGGTTTCTGCCCTTCAGGCTTTTTATACTCCTTCTCACCATCCTCAGTCTCAACCACATATCGACCCTTTTCCTTTTCCGCCTTTCTCTTGTCGTGCTCCGTCTTCCATCGCATGAAGTAGCAACAGAATGGGAAGAGCACAGTGTTGACTGCTGTCCAGGCGAAAAGCACGCCAAAGTTTAATCCGATCCTGGAGTGCAAGTCGAAGAGCAACTGGCGACTGCCCTCAACAACCTGGTGGAGTGGCCAAGCATAGCCCCAGTGGTAGAATCCGGGTGATAGGTCGATGGCATAGAAGGATGTCGAAACATTCGATATGACCCAAAAAATGAGCCACAGAGCCGTCCATGGCTGCCCAATAATCATTGCGACGTTTTCGCAGGCGAGGCCTAGAGCGGACATGCCAACAAAGTTGAGCATCCAGTAGACTGGGAAGGTGCCGCGGCCATAAGCTGTAGCTCCAAATGTAGGGGCTGGCTCCGTTGGTGAAGCTGGGGGCGCGCTGAACGGTATCTGGAAGGCGAGAGATATTAAGCTATAGCTGAGGGAGATGATGAAGTAGGCGACGATCGTAGCTAGCCATCTCCAGATGATGAGCTGCCAGAAGTGTAAAGGTGGATGACCCTGCGGTTGTACGTATTTCTACGCAGGGTAGATTAGCAGCTGTATATCAACAGGATGCGATGACTATGCCAACTTACTGAGTGAATTGGCAAGAAGAAAGAGAAAGAGAAGAATGCCATGATGATCAAGTAAATTAGACCAATGCTCACTGCAGGTGTAGCAGTAGCAGGCTGGAAGGGGCGTAGATCAATCATCAGTGGCGCAATGCCGGGGTTGACAGCAGAAGATGCTCTCGCGAGGTTATCTCGACTCAAGGACGTGTTGGACATAACAGTCTGGCCCCATTGCTTTCCAAATTGTTGCGTAAATTGCTCCGTAAATTGGGTGATGTAAGGTGAAATGTCGCTCTGGTACGTTGTCGAATCTCTCGCGGTTTGTATAATGATCTGCACTGAGCCTGAGGGGTCGTAGTTTGCATCTCCAGTCGCAACGGCCTCTTGGAGAGCTGCTGTAGCATTGGGGTGAATTATCACAGCCGCCCAACTATCCCAGTCGTACACGGCCATTCTCACTGCTGTAGGATCGTTGTTGAAATATGAAGGCGGTAAGATAGTCCATCCCAGTGACGGGCCTGGCTTGTCCAGTGACTTCTGCGCGGTCTGTACAACTGCTGGCCCAACAATTGGCTGTACTGATTCGTACGGAGAAAACTGTCCATCAAAGTCGACGACATGGACGATGATTGATCTCAGGTTGTCCTCGGTACGGAAGAGAACAGCCCAGTACATTGATAAGACTGCGAGGATGAAAAGAAAGAGGATGCTGATCGTCTGAATCCATAACCGAATGACATGGGCGCGAACTTTTTTCATTGATGGGTGCCAGAATCCAACAGAGTGGTGAGGTTTTTGGTGACGATGGTGCACGCCGTTTTCCTCGTTGTCTTGGCCATCGTTCTTGGAGTGGTCGACTTCGGTACGGGCCGGTGAGGTCGGTGACTGAGACCTAGCCATTGTTCCTGGGTTGGGCGAATTGACTTCCTTTCTGCAGACTGAGAAGGATTTCCCCCGATTGACGGTCAGATTGCTGCAGTGGCTTGAAACACACTCAATCAAAAATACCGAAACAACTGCTGGAATACGCCTCTGCCGCTGTCAGTGTCTTGGCTTTATGTACATCCCATCGAATTTGGCAATTCCACGTCAAATCCTCCAGCGTGCAAGTCGATGATGCGTGGTGCAAAAGATCCAGTGAGACGACCAAGTCCCTGTTAACAATTTCGCTGGGATTGCTATGCCATACAGCCATTTGATTGGTTGAACACGTACTTGTCGCGACGAGGTACATTGGGCTTTCGACCCAGCTCCGAGATGACATCAGAGGTCATGGAGTTGCGCTAGAAAAGACACTACCCCTGTCCAAGGTAAGTCTGCAATCTGTGTAAGTAAGCAGGCGGGCGTCTCGGCCTTCGTGCTTTTTATCTAGTGTCGGCGGCTCTCGAACTTGTACTGAGCGTTTAGCACCCTCGATCTTATGTTAGCTTGAGAATCATGATGCATCTCTCGATTAGGTTGCGGAACCTCGATCCCAGCTTTGATGAAGAAGCCGGTGCAATGTCAAGACCAACCAAGGCATGTCGCAGTAGATTCTGCTAACACATGGCCCGGGACCCCACGTCAACAGAGAACAGAATTTGAAGTGATATCACGGCGTTCTGACTGTCTGATTAGTACCTGTCAGGGCCAGCCGTGTATTTGAAATACTTAGCTGAGACATATGTTTCTATTGTGCACCAGCAACTTCAAAACTATCAGACCAGTGCATCTAAAGTGGTTTGACTCTTTTCCATCGTAATCTTCCAGACCTTCGCAAATCGTGAAGAGTTCAGCTCAGCCGTGACTTTTCCCAATTTTCCCTCTCCTTCCAGGCGGCTTTCCGCTAGCGGACCAGCAACGATGAATGATGATGATTGTGGAATGGTTGGAGTTTCTCCGGCGGCCACGTCCATCAGAAGACACGCGTTATGCGGACCTGGAGCCTTGAACTTGAAGAACAAACAGAAGCCGTTTTCAGTTTCTGCGTTCTGAACATGTATATAAGGGACCTCTTCTTTGCCGCTAGTTTCAACGTCGTAAGAGAGCATGATGGAGTGGCTCCAGGGGCCACTACTGACCCAACGATCCGCCGGGGATGCCTTCACGTCGTAGTACCCATGATCCAGTTCTTGTGGCAACTCCACGACGATATGCTGCGCATCGGAATCTTTGCCCCACAGCGATTCCATATCTTCCGGATCTTCAGCCCTGACGAGGATGGTCTCAAGTCTTGCCTGCTTAACCCAATTATCTGGAACTGAGACAAAGCCAAGCTTGTGACTGCACCTGTAGAATGGCTCAAGATCGTTTTTTCTCTCGAGATAGAGCCCTATCTGACGGCCCGCTTTGTTACAGTTGAGTATAGCTATCGTGCTCGTTGGAGAGAAAGTGAATGAGATTCCTGCAGCGGAACCAATCTGCTCATTGTTATCTCCGGGGATGAATGAGAAGCCATATTTCGAGCTGCTCGGGTCTAGTATCGGCATCTCGATCTGGATGCCTCTATTTGTGAACGAATACGGTGCCACGCGATGGTCGGCATCGATCCTGGTGACGCTGCCAGACTGATCAAAACAAGAGGGGGACTTGGCGAGAAACCCAGTGTTGCGAGACGGCCTGTCTGAATGTCCAGGCAACAACCAGGCAAATATTGACTGGTCATCCGTTCGCCTCATGATCTCTTCCTGAAGTCTGATGAACGCCATTTCACCTTCGCCGTATAGTAGAGGCATGCTAACCCCGAATAACCCAAGCAGACAATACGCCTGATCTTCGACTCTGGTAGTCTTTCTCTTCGCAGCCCAGGACATTCTCTGGGCGATGCTGTATCGACCTAGGATTCCATATTCGAAGAACTTGTGGTCGATACCGGTAATCTTCCCCAGAGGTTCTCGCATCTGGTCTCGTGTGCCAATTTCGTACCAGTCATCTGAGTAGAATATGACGGTGGAAGGTGCAATGAGCTCCTGAAGCGTCCAGCCACGCGTGAACCACCGACTATTCATGAAGCTCTTAGAGTAGCCACCGAGAACATCAACATCTTCCTGGGTGACGTCTTCAAGGTATGCATAACAGACACGAGAGTTTTGATACCAGACCCACATGGAATTGATGGCCTCCGTCAACTCAGATGAGCTTGTCTTGTCGATGCAACAAGTGTCGATCCACTGCGAAGTCAATTAATGGGAACCTTGCTATTGTTGCGGGAGCTCAGGGTCAGGGACACTGGGCTGCCAGGCTCAACTTACTATGTAGTCGAACCCATCCGACGATGCCTGATTACAAGCCCCATCCAGTTTCGTATAACCTTTAAGACTAGACGCGTTTCCAGCGAGCAGGTCCTGAAGTGTGACTTCTTCCAAGCCCCAAGTATGAGACAGGATAGCATATGGAATGCGAGAGTGGGTGAAAACGCGCAGTTCCTTCGTTCGTGTGTTCAGGAGCCGCATCGTATCTGTAAGGATTGGTTTCAAGCCAATAAGAGCCTACCGTAAACATCAACTTGGGGCGTTCTGAAGCTGAACAGGACTGGTCAAACTAAATGCGGGGGAATATGCAACTAAATGAAGAACCAGATGGGTTTTCTCAATCAGGACGATAAATCTCACCTGCATAATCTATCACGTGTAACTACTGCGACGAGTAGGCTAGCTACATGCACTTATGCACGCCTCCGGTTTTGGGGTACCATCAGGAAGGCACCACAATGGCTCACTTGAAGGGCACAACTTTGTGCTGGATGGGATGAGTTTGGATTGAACACTCAGCTGCTAAACTACCTCGATTGATTACCCTATGACATGTAGCGGAATGATGGGTGCCTGTAACCAAGTTGACTCTGTTCAGCTTCTGTGCGTCCATCCAGGCGGTGATCTCTCTTTCCAGCAGCTCTGGCTTTGTTTTCATATAAGCAATAGAATATGCCGAACACTGCCAACAGAACTGTTAAACTTTGTCCGACAAGATTGATCGTGTGTCCAGTGAAGTACTTCGGGGCGTCTTTGAACGTGTAGGTCCACCTGTTGTAAACATCAGTAAAATTGCAGGCATGGCTTGATCAAAACCAAAGACTGATGTGCGTTGTCATAGCCTTTTGGCAGGCTTTTGGAGACCTCTACTTACGTCGCAACAATTCCACCCATGGTGCCAATGGAGACAACGTAGGCACTGGTTACTGCGCGTACGGAAGGGCCTGCCGAGTCTATTGTCGAGTGCGTCAGCTTGTTTCACTTTCTTCAGTCCGACCGAAGGTCATAGACTTACTATTCATCGCCCAACTCACTGCAACGATGTTAGCAAAAGAATCAGACAGCAAAAAGGTGTTGACTCACAAAATCCTGGACCACCTGGGAAAGCACCTGCAGTGACAAAAAATACCTAGGATCATTAGTGAATGTACGAAGGAGGCAGACAAAAGGACAGAGAGCTCTTACGCCCATATATCTGATGTTAGCCTCGGTCGCAAATCGCAAAATGGCGAAACCGATAACAGCAATCATCGAAAACACGGCAAGGTATATACCGCGTTGACGTGTTCGGTCGCTGAACCACGCGATGATGATGGCTGTGATAGCAGCCACAACGTACGGCGGTACAGAGTACAGCTGCGCTCGCGTCGCAGTCCAGCCCAAGTCAGCAAGAATGGTCGGCATGAATACCGAAATTCCCTGAACAGTTATGTTGATCAGGAAAAAGCCGAAGGCGCATGTATAGTTATGGATGCAAAACACGGCTCGCTTCACGTCGGAAAGAGTGACTTTCTGATCAACATCGGCCTTGTGCTGGCGCTGCAGACGCTCTGCCGCAATTGCTCGTTGTCTTTCGTCAAGGAAGTAAGCGGTAGCGGGACTTGTGGGCATCCAGAGAGGTGCGAAACCTCCGAAGAGCATTGTGACGAATCCCTCGAAGAAGAATATGTTCCTCCATGTATGGATAGGTGCACTGTCGAACCCCCATTCCGGAATGCGAGAAAGACCAGTGGCAAGCAGGCCACCGAATGCGCCAGCTAATGACGCTGCTGAAATGAAGATTCCCAGCCGGAACAAGAGTTCTTCTCTCTTGTAGAAGCTGCTCAGAAAGAAGGAGAACCCTGGCATGGCACCGCCTTCGAAGATTCCCAGGAAGGCGCGGGCAACGATGAGTCCTTCATATGAGCGTACGAAAGCCGTGCAGAGTGAGACTAAACCAAACCCAACGACAAGGAATGGCAGGTAGAATCGTGGGCCGACGCGTTTAAGAATAATGTTGCTTGGCACTTCGACGAGAAGGTAGATGATGTAGAATATTGACAGGGCCCAGTTGAACCGGTATCCTTCAAGGTTGATATCCTTAGCCATGCCCTGGATCCTGGCATTTCCGATATTCGCTCGATCCAAAAACTACCCCGAAGATAGGCAAGTCAGTGGCGGTGCGACAGCCAGCTAATTTTTGACGGGAGGAGAAAATCACATACGCAGAGAAGGTACAAGGTCGTCACCAGTGGGACAGTGTGCCAGTCGAGCTTACGCTTGATGACCTGTTCCTCCTCTTCCGTCCACTCCAACTGTACGGGTTCGTCCGCATACTGGATAGACTCGGACTTGACATCGACCGTCGTCGGCTCGTTATACTCTGTTTTAGACATTGTCAATCGTTAAGGCCTGGCTCTGTCACGAATACTGAGAATTACTCCTGCGCCAGCAAACAGAGAGGGGTAGGGAGGGAAGCTTACGTTTCTTATCAAACTCGATTGGTATCTCGTCTATTGTGGAGAGCACCATCTTGACAGCTGGGCCGAGACGATGCTCGGAATCCTTTGAACGCGACCTTCCGAAAATACTACGTTGACGGCTGGAAAATTTGCCTAGCAGCTTGTGGATGCGACGTTGAAAACGGCCAAGCCCATTTAGTGTAGCTTCAATGAGGGGTCAAGGTAGTGACCGGCCCCTATTATTATCTATCCAAAGCCACTAAGGAGCGGGAAGCAAGTTTGAATAGCTGGCACGGACAGTTTATCACTTTCAGACTTTCTTCGGCAGATGTCTTCTGCATTAAAGCCCAGCCCTGTCCCGGGTGGCCTTCGTCCAATGACCCTGACCCAGGTGCCCGTCAAGGGGGGCACGTTCGGCCCAAGAATGCGGGGTACGGGAGGAAGAACACTTGGATTTCTTGGGATTTTAGTCTTTTCCCACAGTTCAACACAGATTGAGTCGCATTGAGGTGGGCGGCCGTGGAACTGAGGGTTGGCATTTCGCTGGGGTTTGTGCTGAATATGGTTTGGAGTCTGCCACGCCCGCCCAGTGGGACCGCTTTCCCAACCTTGGGTCTACACTAACTTCACTCGACCATCTGAATTTCGAGGCAAAAGGCCTTTCCCCACGTCGCAAGCCGGAAAGGAAATCTGGTTACCCTTTGCGAGTTGGTATGTTACCTGTTACAGTCTATGTTTTCATCAAACGCTTGGGACAGTTGGTTTTCATCCGGACTCTTCGGAACCGAGTTGCTAACAACGGGTTTCACTACTTTGACGTCAAAGCCGTTACAGGATGACAGAGCACAATGATGAAGTCAGGTTATTGAAGTATGTCGTGTAACTGCAGGCTGCTTCTAGGCGTGCAAGCATGAGCGCCAGAATTCCGAGAGGGGTGATTACGAATACCACCTAGATCATGGTTGCCAGCATATCCACGCCGCACTCACGCCGCTCCGATGCCACCTTCAACTCTAACTTCGATAGCGAATCAGAACCAAAGACCCCCAGGATCACCAATGGTTATGTACAGACGGTGTACACTATGGCGTTCATGTGATCTCATACTTATTTGTTGCCAAGGCGAACGAGAGGCGCCCTGGGTGGTGGAATGGGGTCGTCAGATGTTTTCGCACGGCCAATAATTAGTGCTCCGCGAGGGATGCTTCGAGTGAAACGCGCCCCGAGAGAGTCAATCCTATCATCGGTTCCATAATCGGATACAGCTGCATGGTCAAAATCAACGGCTATCACTTGCATCTAAACGTAAGTTCAGCGAAGGGTCCTAAAGATGACCCATGGGCTTGTGGTCGCGTAAGGAGTTATGCCATAATCCGCCTTGCTATGCTATGACACGTCTTCACTGCGACACCCGCGTTTGCTACGTGTCTTGTATTGAGAGTTTTACAGTCACAGCGTTACTCAAGTGTGCCATCATGCAGCACATTGTTACATGCCATGTTCCAAGAGCTATCAACTATTTAGTCAAATCGCGACAATCTCACAAAGCCCGAAGAAACCCCCTTTTCCGTCTTGGCGGCTCAACTCCCGGTTGCTTGGGAATTTGCTTCTCGAAATCATACCTGTGCAAGTGAAAGTGTGGAAGTTTTGTCCCCTTTCGACGTATCTCTTTTTCATCTTTCCACCTCAAGATGTAACATGCGGGGACGAACAAAATCGTGTTAACCGACACCCACGTAATCAAAACGCCAAAGTTGAGGCCAATGCGCGAGTGCAAGTCGAACAAAATCTGTCGGCTGCCTTCAATCACATGATGATAAGGCCATGCATACGCCCACCGGTAAAACCCTGGGGCAATATCGGGAGGCCAGAATCCGGTCAACGTGTTCGTGAGAGTCCAAAACGTTAACCACAAACCAACCCATCGAGGGCCGATAACCATGGCCATGTTCTCACAGGCCATTCCGAGTGCTGCCATGCCGAAGAAGTTCAACAGCCAGAAGACGATGAACGAGGCTTTCCCATAAGCGTTCGGATTCTTAGCGACCTCCACTGCCGAAGCTGGCGGATTGGATAAGGGAACTTGGAAGACAAGCGATATCAAACAGTAGACCAGCGACAAGAAGAAGTAGGCTGCCATGAGTGATAAATATCTGCGTATGACGTAGTGCCAGTAGTGCACGGGAGGATGACCCTCAGGCACAATGCATTTCTACATAGCAACCTCGGTATCAGTTTTGTACCAAAGCATCAGAAGCTCGGACTTACCATGTCGTCTGCAAGGTAGTAGGTGAAACCGAGATGGGCGATGAGAAAGCTTAGCCCAAAGGTAACTGCCGGAATTGCCGCAGGCGGCCCGAACGGCCGCAGATCTAACATCAAAGGTGACACCCCGGGGTTGACGGCACTCGCGGCCTGCCGAAGAGTCTCCTTTGTCAGGGAGTCATTGGCCATTACCATGCCGCCCCATGTTTTGCCGAATGTTTCTGTCAAACTTGACGTGAAGGACGTGAGGCTTGGCAAGATGTAGCTATATGTCATAAATGAATCTCGGCCAGACATGGTGATGATTTGGATTGCGCCTGTTGGATCGTAGGAAGAGTTTCCGATCGAGACTGCCTCTTGCAATAAAGCTGTTGCGTTTGGATTTATGATGATTGCTGACCAGGCCTTGAAGTGATAGACCGCTTCGCGAACCTTCATGGGGTCGAATTCGAACTCGTTTGCATCGCGTATTTGATATCCGATTGATGGTATGGGGCTCCACAGCGTCTCATTCGCCAATTTTGTGACCGTCGGACCTACTAAAGGCGTGATATCGTTGTAGGGAGCAGATTTGCCATCAAAGTCGACAACAAAACAGACGAGAGAGGTGAGGTTTTCCTCGATGCGAAACACAATGCCCCAATAAAGGCAGAGGATGAGGAACATCGAGAAACAGATGATGAAAGCTGAAGATGGTGAGCTGTGGCTGCAAGTGAGCGCGTAGAGCGCGGATGAGACTTACTGTTTCTGCACCACATCATAGAGATATGCTTTCGTATTTAAGCAAGCACAAGGTAAATTCCATTAGGCACTGTGAAGATTTTCGAGGCTGAGCCTATGTTGGGCTGCACTTACTGCTGCCAACCCTGGGTCCCACCAGCTGACTGATTGCGATGGAAGGTTTTCGTGCTCAGGTAAGCGACTTTTCATCCAATTCCCGACAAGGTCTGCCCTTTGAGTATCGAGGCTATTCAGCACGCTGTTTGACTGGTCGTCTCGGGAGGCTTGCGCTGCTGCGCCGGGTTCTCGGTGACCGCCGTTGTCGACGTCGGTATCTATGTGCATTTCGGACGTTGCACAGTTGCGGTAGCCTGTAGGTAAATGAATGACTCTGGCCTACCTTATTCTTCGAAACTTTGAACTCAGTTACTGAACTGCATGTTTTGTACTTAAGAGCAAGGTCGACTTCCGTCGCAAAACCTCCGGCAGTGTGTTTTTGATGGCCTATGATTGACATAGTTACCCACAGTTATATGACCTCACCAGCACAAATTGTGGAGATCAGGGGCGGACATGTCAGTCCGGATGGATAATAATTCGTCATTTAAATGCTCTGATACATGTGTCCCTTGAGTCAATGTGGGCTTTGCTCGGTCGGCCAGAACTTGTAGTTTATCTAGTGGGTCATTCGGGTGATCGTCTTCTCAGCTGAAGTCCAGGCTCAGTTTAATCGGTTCTCAGTCAGGGATCAACTCGCCTTCTCAAGTAGAGTATCAATCTTGACAGTCTCTGCAGGCCATCGGACCTTTCCAACCAACAGACCAGACGCTCCACTTTGCATGCAGGAGTCACCAATAACTTGATCAATGAGCATCAGCTTGCCCTACCCATATTTCTCAAAGCGGGTTCATGATCAGTCTCATTCCCCTGCGTTAAGGCAAGCATCTTGACGTCAAAAAGATGTCAACTAGGCCAGGTGGGGTAAAGAGCCTACAAAGAGTCTCCTCAGTAACTCTAGTCTTTCCAGGAAATCCCACAACGCGCCCAATCTGTTTGTTTGTGGCAACCAGCCGGAGAACTTCGTCCGCGACTTCGTGTGCTATAGAATCTTGAGGGTTTTGACATGGCTTGACATGTCATAAGGCAGATCAGCTCCATCGTAGCCACTTCAACTTTGAAGTGGAGCTCGCCAAGATGCATATGAGGAAGTGGTGATTGACGAGGACGCCATTCACTACAATGGTTGAGGTAATACCAGTAGGACTGCGATAGTCTCTATTCCCGAGGAAGAGAAGTCTGTCTATTGATACCTTCATCTACTTACTCGAGTAGCCCACTCGAACCATTGACTTGCTTCTTTCCAGTCCCAACCACAAGTTAGACGCTCGGCAGAAAGGGCCAGTCTGTGTATAACCTGACTTGAGTAGGCTTCAAGGTTGTACAAGTGCATTTCCTATCAAGGAGATTTCTCCATGTGCCAGAAAGTAGTCAGTTACCTGAGTAATCAGATATCCAATATTACTATGCGCTGTGTTTCGACCTCTGAATGATTGTTCCGTGGATTGGAGGGGTCACAACATCATACCATCCTAGTACGTTGAAACGAATGTGGGGGAAACATTACGATAAGGGACTTATAAAGTCTAGATTTAAGAGCTCTCCGGGCCATTCAAATCATCTCTAGTCTTACAAGGCCGCAACGATAGCATTGCATAGCAAGCGGTGGCTAAAATCCAAGTAAGATCTTTCGCCAATTGATCTTCTTCTTTCCATTCTCAGTGGCAGTTGTTCCGTAACCCTCCTCTTGCACATTATGCTGCCCAACGATGGAAAGGAAGACGTCGTTCAACGTCGTGGGACTGACACTTTGATGCTCGATGCCCAAGATATCCTTGTTCTCCTCTAACATCACGATAAGTTGACCGATTGCACTCAACTGGCAGTTCTCACTACTCTGCATCTCTCTTCTGCTCTGTTGGCTCAGCTGAGATCTTTGCAGCACATCTGATGCCGTGACTGAGAACCGCAACTGGCCGTGAAATGTTTGAGACTCCACTTGGGCCGAGGGAAATTGCTGTAGAACCCAGTCTCGCATGCGATCCATCTCTTCCGATTTCGAGTGTGGAGCAGTGCGGCTGACCAAATGAACATATAGTGAGTCTCCGAAGCGGCTTTGGAGCTTCTCAACTTCACCTATGGCTAACATGCGTTGTGCGATAATGCCAGCTCGGTTAGCAAGTGCATCAGCCTCTTCCATGCTGTGGGTTGTCAAAAGTATAGAACGACCTGGCACAATTGTGCTGAGTGTTCGCCACATGATGCGCTTCGCAGCAGCGTCGAGGCCTAAAGATGGCTCGTCAAGCAGTATCACCGACGGGTTCCCTGTGAGGGAGATCCCGAGGGAGAGTTTACGCTTGTTGCCCCCTGATAAGTGTTGCGCCATGACATTGGCATGGGCATCGAGGCCGACGGCACGCACAACGGCTTGAACTTGCTCCTCAACATCGCCAATTCCACGCAGTCTGGCGTAATGCCGGAGATGTTCAATAACAGTCATGGACTCGACTGCGTCGAACTGTGGACACACTCCGAGATTTGCCCTGGCTCGTGCTCTCTGGTCGGTGACGGAGACTTGCTCGACGAAAACATCGCCGCCATTACGGCTCGGTTGGGTATCACCCCGGATCAGTGAGATGGTTGTCGATTTTCCGGCGCCGTTGGGACCGAGAAGCGCGAACACTTCTCCCTGGCGAACACCGAATGAGACATTGTCAACAGCAGTGAAGCTACCGAACTTCTTCGTCAGATGTTTGACCTGAAGCCCGTCGCTGTTCGCAGTCGACTCGACCCGCAATAGCTCGCTGGCAATCTCTGGGTCTTCGTGTGCTTGTTCAGCTCCGTCGCTGGAGTTCCTGCTGCGCTTGAATATCGCAGGTAGCTTGTTCTCACTGTCGTGGTAGAGAAGAATGCCAAACAGCAGCATCGCCTGCAGGACGAGGTAGAGGATTGGACCTCCATACGCCTTGGTCGCGCCTGGATATCCAAGACCAGTAGCGGAACATGCCAATGAGAAGGTATTGAGACCAATGAGAAGGGCTCGGAAGACGGATGTGACGGGAAAGAAGGCCGAGATAGTGTAATGTCCTATCAGAATGTTGCGATCTGTGACAATGGACGGCGAAAAGGTGACGATGTAGAGAAAGGCGATCAAATAGATCGCAAAACCGACACTATTGTAGGCCATTATTGCAGCAAAAGTCGCAACTTGGCTGTTGGTGAACAGCGAAACAACATAAGACAGCAGAATCGAGGCAATGCCGTATAACAAGAGCACTGGAAACAGGTAGCCAGGGGCGTACCAGATGTCTGAGGAGACGACCAATATGATAGCTGCAACTAGTAGAGGGAGAAAGAAGACCCCAAAGTCGAAGATGAGGTGCGACGTCCATGTAGATAGCGACCGCACTCCGCTGGAGTACTGCAAGCCACGAGCGTGGCTGTGTCTCTCAGCGTTGGGATACAGTCCAAAGAACGACGGAATAATCGAGCAAACGATGCTGAAAAATATGGCCAACTGAACTGTGGATGAGGTCGAAGAGGGGATGACGCTGTCAAATGGGGTGTATGTGGTCGCAATGCTGATATTTGTCTTGACGATACTGAGCAGGTTCTGCATGATGACCGCTGAGAGGACTGCCCCTGTTCCCTCATTATCTGCTCGGTAGGCAACTGTCGAGATTGTCTCTGGGCTGCCGGCCCAAAGCCCACCTGGAGTGACATTCTTACGATTGTCTTCCATGTATCGCGTAAGGTCGGCGTAGGTGGCACTTTGCGCAAGTTCGGTATTCGTGGAGCTATTGGGTCCCGGAAGCAAGAAGCCAAAAAGGTCGCCAAATGATGAGCTAGAGAAAGAGGAAGAAGGACCAGCAGCGATAAGAGCTCGGTCAAAGGCCTTCCTGTAGTCATCGAAGCCTTCTGCAGAAGCTTGACTAAAGTCTGCCACATCGCAGCTAGCAGGGCTCTCGTCGGCGATAAGGAGCTGCATAATTGCTGCTGCAACGATCGGAACAAGAAATACGATGGCGTATGGAACCCAGTTGGTCTTGAGTAACGTGAAGCGTTTGCGAATCAGAGTAGGGATTTGCTCAAAGATTCCCGTCTGACGGCCAGATTGAAGCCCCAACGAGTCTTGTCCACCATTAACAATAGACTTTTCTGTGAGGCCTTTGCCAGAGTCGACTGACCCATGGGCTCTACCCTGACTAAGGGGTTGAAGACCCTCCCCTTGCACCTCATCGGCCACATTGAGGAACACATCTTCAATATTTGGACTGGAGATGCGGTAGGAAATGCTTAAAGTCTCAAGATGACGGATTACATCGGCGGCGATGCTTGATGATGGAGCAGTGTAGATGATGGTATTTGATGCCACAGCTAATGTAGCGCCGTGTATTTCTGGAGGAGCTCTCAAATCCTTTGCATTGAGAACATGGATACGGTAGCCGTCTCCGAGAGCGTTCTTCAGGGCTACAGATGAGCCTTCGGCCTTCAGGCTGCCCTTAGATAGTATCGCAATGTTATCGGCAAGTAAGTCGGCTTCGTCGAGGAAATGCGTCGTCAGAATGATGGTCCTTTTGCCACGTTCCGAAAGAAGGATGTCCCAGATCTTCCGTCTTGAGAGCGCGTCAATGCCAGAAGACACTTCATCAATGCAACAGACGGCACTTCCACCAGTCAGCATCATGCCAAGCTGGAGTTTGCGCTTTTGCCCGCCAGACAGATGTCGTGATTGGGACTTTCGCTTTGTCAATAGGCCAATCGAGTCGATCAAGTGCTTGGAGTCCTCCTTGCTCGCAAGGCTCCACGGAGACTTGAGCTGATTAAAGATCGTGATGTGTTCGGCCACGGTGAGCTCATCCCAAAGAACGTTCTTCTGGGGCACGATA